GGGGACCAGGAACTAGAGAAAAGGTTAGATCAAAAAGAATTAACCTAGAAGGCAACACACATGTACAGGAAATTAATGTGAGTCAACTCCCTGTATCGCTATCCTTATCTCAACCAGGAATACTTGTTCCTTCCTATTATTGCTTATACTCTCTCCACAACAAAATTAGAAATAAGGGCAAAATAGTTTCTGCTGGGTATTGAGGGGGTGGGGGGGAAGGGAGGGGGCGGAGTGGGTGGTAAGTGAGGGGGTGGGGGCAGGGGGGAGAAATGACCCAAGCCTTGTATGCACATATGAATAATAAAACAATAAAAAAAAATAAAGTCAAGCAAGTGCCACTGAATGTAGAGTGTTTATATAGGTTTTTCCTTGACAACACCAAGAGAGAGATTCACTATGAAGATACTGTGATTCTGGTCTGACAGATTGTCTGACATCTAATTTGATTCTGGAGAACTGGCATTTCATGTCGTGAGATTTTTCTCATTAACAGTATGGCTTTAACTATATATATGTAGTTTTTTCTCACTGGCTCTTTATTTATCTTGAAAATGAATATTTGGTATGAATATCAGCTTGAGTTTTCCAGAGAAACCGAAAAATACATGGCAGATAGATAATAGAAAAATAGATAGATAGTTGTGTGTGTAATTATAAAGTGGATTTATTAAGTTGACTTATAATCACAGAGGCTGAAAGGTTTTACAACAGCTGTCTTCAAGTTGGAGAGCCAGAGAAACTAATAGCTGCTCAGTCCAGGATGCTGAAAACTCAGAATGAGAGATAGACAACAAATACACCACCTGAGTCCAAAGCAAATGCCTGATAACCTGCTCTTTGCTAGTGCAAGCTCATATTAAAGTCTACAGAATCTGGAATCTGGACTCTACAGGCAACACTGTCATAAAATGGACCCACTCAAGAAAGGAGAATGACAGAAAAGAGAACAAATAAGCACCTCCTTTCTTCTACATTTTTCTTACATCCAGGTGGGACTTCCCACTCAACTCCCTAAACCACTATTCCAGTGTTCTCTGAAAGCACCATCATGCCCAAAGTATGCTTTCCCGAATCTCTAGACATGCCTCAATCCAGATAAACTGACAACCCAAATGAGCCACAGAGTCAGGAAATATGCATTGGCATATCTTTTCCAAATTGGTGGGATTCCAATTTACTTTTTAAAAAAATTTCAAAATGTTAATTGACAAGTGAAGATTGTGTTGCAGTCTGCTCTCTGTATCCATAGGCCCTACACGTGTGCATTCAATCACAGATTGAAAATATTCAGAAAAAGACTGAATTTGTACAAAGCATGGATAGTCCTTTTTCTTGATTTTGTTCTCTTAATTATACATTATAACAACTATTTAAATAATGAAATTATTTAACTGTGATGGGAGGATGCACACAGATTATATGCAAATACATCTTCATTTATGTAGGGACCTAAGCATTTTTGAATGTTGATACCCTCAAAGATATCTTGGAACCAATCCTTCATGGATGTGGGTTGATGACTATATTGAAAATGCAAATATGGGATAATTGGATGGAAGATGTATGACACCACTTATCCCCACGCACCCTGTAAATATAAACTGGGATATGAAAATTTTTGTCGTAAGACTGTGAAGACTGTAGGAATGAAGTATAAAGGGCATATAGGGAGGCCAATCCCTGTTAAATTAAATAATTTTTGAACTTCCATTTGGTGAGTTCTGAGTTGAATTTAAGGATGGTCCTCAATGAAGGCTGGAATGATTGTTGTTACAAATCAGTGTGGAACGGACCAGAGCCTGGCTTGCAAGGCAACCTGCAATACTACAAATTCACAGGAAAGCAATGCATTGAGCACAGCTTTAGGTCTGCACTAATCAAAAGTTACTGAAGTTCCTGTGCAGAGACCTGAGGTCCTCTTTCTGAGTCCCACTCATCCCAAAACAGTCAAGGAGAGCTTCTGAAAATCTTTAAGCCTGAAGAGGTGGCCCAGCAGAGACCAAATGACTAGGAGCCGTACCTCAGTGGTAGAGTGATTCCCTAGCATGTGCCAGGCCCTTGGTTGGATCCTCAGTACCACAGACACAATACAAAACACACACACACACACACCACTAAAAAAATGAGCCAAAAAACAAAAAAGAAACATTTACTGAGCTGGGTGATTGCAGAAACCACTCTGAGATGTGGGAGCTACACTTGGGTAATTCTCATTGTTTTGAGCCAAAATAATAACTGCTAACATATTAGATGCACATTAAATTCAAGGACCACCCCTTCACACAGCTTTTAATTGTACCTAACAGCTGGGAAAATCCTGGCTTGGCACAGCCAATAGGGCATATCAGGCCTGAGAAAAAGGCCCCTGGCCATTCTGTTTTTCTGTTTCCTTTTTTTTCTTTCTTTCTTTTTTATTCAAAACGCAGAAGATAGAGCACGAAACAGAACTGCACACTGTGATGTACAGAACCCATGGAAAGCCTGTCTGAGCCCTACTGGGCTAAACCCAATCACAGTAAGTATCTGCTCTGAGAAAAAGCAGCACACCATTTCTTCCCACTGACTGGTTTTAAATCTGCCTGCATAAATCTGCAGACCCTACAGGCCACCCCCTGTGAACATAATCTAACGTCGCCCCTGGGTAGATTGAACCCTCCCCCCACCCCCCGAACAAAACTGAGAAGCATAAAAAAACAGTGAATTCTAATCTACCACCAACAGTGGGGATGGGCTGGAGTGCTGAACCAACGTCAGAGAATGGGGGTGGAGCAAGGAGTTTAACTCTCAGTGAAGGAAGATGGGGCAAGGAACAAGCACTAAGAGCAGAGGTGGGGCACAAGCCAACCTCTCAGAGGAGAAGCCGAACTCTTAGTAAGCCAAGGTGGGTGAGAAACAAATGCTGAGAATGGGGTGTGGGAACAAGCTAACATCCCAAAGCAGGGGTATGGCAGATCATGGAGCTAGTCCCTTAAAACTGAGGGTGGCACTCAAAATTGAATTGCCCACTTTGCTAGGGGAGGAGCTGACCAGACAAAGTTGCAGCAGCAGGGCAATGTAACTGCTGTCTAGTGAAAACGACAGATCTGACCACCTTGCACAAACTGGTAGTGAGCTAACATAGGTCCCAATTGCAACCCACCCTGTGGACAGAAGGAACCAAATACTGCTCACAAGTCAGCCATCTGGTGAGACCACTTCAGAGCTCCCACTTGTAACAGATGGCCCTTAAGACCCTCCAGCTATCTCCCTCCCAAACTGTCCAACAAGAGGGGCAGCACCCTTCCCCACAAAGTCCAGAATACCAAGTGCCAATAGCAGGATTGAATGCCAAAGGAATAGCTACAGAACTTTTGCTAAGCAGACTGAACTTTCTGTTGTTGTACCTGTTTTTTTTTGGGGGGGATGGGTTTCCTTCTTTTTTGGTATTATTAACTATACCATAATAATTTTCTTATCCCTATAATTATCCCATTCACTTTCTCTCCTTTTGTTATGATACACTCCATTGTTCTCCCTACCAACTATTCTTTCTACCACTTCTCATTCACTCTCTCCCCATCTTTGCCTCTCCTTCCACACCTCTCCCAACCTGTCACCACATTACCACTCCCACCTATGTATTCACAACCCACTGACAAGCCTGCTGTACCAACCACACCCCCCCCAGCCCTCTGCAATCCCTGACACAAGCACCTGTCACTACAGCAGGG